AATGTTTATTTAGGATAATGGACGGACACAGATTTTCTGTCAAAAAGAAATAAAATAATTTCTAGTATCAGCATTGTATATTTGCTAGTCAGACTTTCTAGATAAATTTAGACATTATGTTAAATCAGATGGTCCACTAGTTTAAAGAGCTGAACTTGAAGAATAAACTACTGTATGATTAAACTTGTAACTAATCTGTTTTGACTAAATGATCAGTTAAAAGAGAAAGCAACATTTTTAATGAATTCTTATTTTTCTCGACCTCTTAAATTTCATCTCTGTAGTTACAGTAAAGAAAAAAAAGGACTAGGACACTATAAGCTCAACAGAAGAATAAATTCTGACAAATCAAACAAAAGTCTCTGTTTACTTTACATTGTAGTATGTAGCTTTTCATTCAAGAATAAGTTTATTCAAGCCAATTTAAATTACACAAAAGGTGATAAAATCTATCTAAATTAGGTATAACATGTTACTAGTCAACAGTCTTACCAAATAAACCTGAAACATCAACAAAAGTATTCACTAATCTTGAATATATTATTTGAAATAAGTACCCACAGCAATCATTAACCACATGGGAAAAATAATATTTTAATAATGATCAATTGAACGATATGCATCCGTCAGATACTGATAACCTAACCTTACTTCTTACATTTATACACCCACTCAATACACCATTACTCAAAAACTTAACACTCTTGAAAATGATTTAAGCCTTTTGATGAGTAAGGGGCCTAAATGTCCCAAATATCAAAACTAACTAGAAATGCACTAAAAGCATTTTGACAAATCAATTAAACTTTTAATGTCAAATTAGATTGAAAAATAAATCAAAATCAAAAGTACACTGACAGCAACTTTTTCAGTAGAGAAACTGTAGATGAAATTTTAAATTTCAAATTGATGCAGTATACATAATTTTTTATGACATTGTATTTATACTACAGCAGCTAATCTTTACACATGTTCATGCAACAAAAACATTTTCTCAAGCATATATATTTAATAAAACTTACCCAAAAGAACTTAACACTTCCAAAGTTAGTTTATATTTGGACTAAAAATTTACCAACATAACTTATCTCTTACAGAAAGAATTAAAGTTTCATTACATAAGGTCATAAATTTATTTTAAAACTCATTTATCATTAACAAAAAAAAAACAGGTTAATATTAAACATTTTATTACACGTAAGTCTTACCATATTTAATTTTCTGTTACCCAAAATAATACAAATAAGGATTGATTAAAGTTGACTATTTGCTGCTTATAAAAATGTTTGTAATTAGTAAATAATTTGTGAAATCCAGTTATTAAATAAGTACATAAATCGTGTTGTAGTAATTACAGTTTTAATGTTATTGCAGTAAATGAGTTTATGCCAGTTAGAAAACAGTAAAAAAGTTGACTTATGTTTATTTTCATTTTCAGGTTATGGTTGTATAGAAATATAGTTGCTATGGTTCTTCTAGTCATTATATGTGGGGTCGTAGGTTATCATATTGAAGGAACTCATCAAAAGGTAAGTTTTTAAGCTTATATTCAGTGTTTTTAATGTAAATGCTTTAAATATTTACCAGCGACAAAATGTAACCTTTCATTGATTTCTCTATGTTGGCTTTTGATGTCATTTCTAAGCTTCATCAAAAGTACTACATTTATGTCTTGCACAGTAAAACTGGTTAAATAAATTGGTATGAATTATGCACTATAACACTGTATAATCAATCATTCATACCAATTTATTTAACCAGTTTTACTGTGCAAGACATAAATGTAGTACTTTTGATGAAGCTACGCACTATAACACTGTATAATCAATCATTCATACCAATTTATTTAACCAGTTTTACTGTGCAAGACATAAATGTAGTACTTTTGATGAAGCTACGCACTATAACACTGTATTTATGATTAAAACAACACTAGTTATAGATAGAATAAACTGAATTATATTGTTGTCACTAGTAAGCCTAATTTTAATGTTCTACAAATTTCCGATACAAAGATGAGCCATGTTTATTACAATACATTACTAGGCCATACAAAGAAAACTGAAAAACATAAGAACAGAATATACATTCTGATGGAATGGGACAATTTGTTGAATCCCACAGAATTGCAGCAGGTGTTATTGAAGGTCACAGAGAGCTAGACAAAGACAGTAGGTCACAAGGCAAGCAGATCCTGGGAAATGGTCATTGGATTTGGCAATGGCTGTAAAAATGTCTTAGAAATTTAAAATTTATAATGGGTAACGTGGTCAAGAAATGAAAAAACCACAAGTTATGCTAACATAGAACATTTATTAAGTCACTCGTAATTAATGGCTCTTTAGTCCATGGAAACTTAGAATTACGAGGAGAAATTTGTCGGTCAACTGAGAGCTTTGGGCTATTAAAATTCACAGTTAGGCTGTGAACAGTGTTAACATTGGGGTAACGGATAATAAAAGACCAGCATATGTAGAGACAAATCTCATGACCATTATTTCTATAATTGGAATGTGACATAATGTGGTAGTAACATTTTGTGGCTGATCTAGATTTGATTCCAGAACAATACTTAAGGAAGTTATGAATGTCTTGTAGTACTTGGCAATTGTTGCACTGCCTATGGAGAAAAAAAAATATTTCTTTCAATATAATACCATGTCATGTCAAACTAGAGAACCATCTTGAATTATTCACTTGAAGTGATTTGGGGAAATGAGGGACAGGCTCTGAAA